AGCTCTGGAATTCAAAACAATCATTAGGTCCAAATCATAATAATGTTGCTAAGTCTTTAAACAATCTTTGGTTTTGTGTTTGAAAAAACTGAAAACTACGACAAAGCTTTCATAGAGGTTACGAAAAGCTCTTGAAATTCAAAAAACAATCGATATGTCCAAATCAAGTTGATCTTGTCTAAATCTTTTAAACAATCTTAGTATGGTGTTTTATAAAACTGGTGCTACGACAAAGCTAAAGAGGTTCAAGGAAAAAGCCTAGAAATTAGAAATCAATCGTTAGGTCCAAATCATGTTGATGTTGCTAATTCTTTTAACAAATCTTACTTGGTGTTTTATAAACTGGAAACTACGACAAAGCCAAGGTAGTTCACGAAAAGCCTCTGTGAAATCTGAAACCATCGTTAAGTCCAAATTATGCTTAATGTTGCTGATTCATTAATCAATCTTGGTAATGCGTATTATATTACTGAAAGTACGATAAAAGCTTACAGAGTTTACGAAAAAGCTTCTAGAAATTGAAAACAATCGTTAGGTCCAAATCATGTTAGAGTAGCCATGTCTTTATACAATATTGCCTGGTGTGTATTATAATACTGAAAGTACGACGTTTTCACAGAGTTTTACGAAAAGCCTCTAGAAATTGAAAACAAGTGTTAGGTCGAAATCATGTTGATGTTGCTGCTTTAAACAATCTTGGTTTGGTGTTTGAAAAAAATCCGAAACTAAGACAAGCTATAGAGGTTCACGAAAGAGCTCTGGAAATTGAAAACAATCGTTAGGTCCAAACCATGTTGACGTTGCCTGGTCTTTAAAACAATGTTGGTTTGGTAAGTTTTATAAAACTTGAAACTACGACAAAGCTTAAGAAGCGTGGTTCACAAAGCCTCAGGAAATTCAAAAGCAATCTTTAGGTCCAAATCATGTTATCAAGTTAAGTTGATTCTTTAACAATCTTACATATTGTGCATTATGATACTCGGAAAGTAAGATAAAGCTATAGAGTTTTACGAAAAAGCTCTAGAAATCTGAAAAACAATCGTTAGGTCCAGCAAATCATAATGATGTTGCGGTTTCTTTAAACAATCTTGGTTTGGTAGTTTGGAAAACTGGAAACTACAAAAAAAGCTCTCATGTGAGTTTCAAGAAAAGCAGTAGAAATTCAAAAAGCAATCTTAGGTCCAAATCATGTTGATGTTGCTGATCTCTTTAAACAATCTTGGTCGGTGTATTATAATTCTGGTGCTATACGACAGCCATAGAGTCTTACGAAAAAGCCCTGGAAACTAAAAACAATCATTGGCTCCAACCATGTTGATGTTGCTGATCTGTTAAACAATCTTGGTTTAGTTTGAAAAAAAAACTGGAAACTACGACGAAGCTATAGAGGTTCATATAAAAGCTCTAGCAATCTGAAAACAATCGTTAGGTCCAAATCATGTTGATGCTATGCCTCTTTAAACAATCTTGGGCTCGGTGTTTGAAAAACTGGAAACTACGACAAAGCTAAAGAGGTTCACGAAAAAAGCTTCAGAAATTCAAAACACCCGTTAGGTCCCAATCATGCTACGTTGCTCTGTCTTTGAAGAATCTTGAGTACGGTGTTTTATAAAACTTGAAAGAACGATGTGCCACAGAATTTTACGAAAAAAGCCTCTAGAAAATCAAAAAGAATCGATAGGTCCAATCATGTTGATGTTGCAGCTCTTTAAACAATCTTGGTTTGGTGTATGAAAAACTGGAAACTAAGCAACAAAGCTATAGAGGTTCACGAAAAAGCTCTAGAAATTCAAAAGCAATCTTAGGTCCAAGTCATGTTAATGCTGCTGTTTCTATAAACACCCTATACTGTGTATTATGATACTGGAAAGTAATGACAAAGCCATAGAGTTTTACGAAAAGCCTGGAAATTCAAAAACAATCATTATGTCCGCAAATCATGTTAATGTTGCTAAGTCTCTTTAAACAATCTTGTTTCTAGGTTTGAAAACTGAAAAACTACGACAAAGCTATAGAGGTTTACGAAAAAGCTCTGAAATTCAAAAACAATCGTTAGGTCCAAATCATGTTGATCTTGCCTTATCTTTAAACAATCTTGGTGTGGGGTTTTATAAAACCAAGTACCGCTAAAGCTAAAAAGGTTCAAGAAAAAAGCTCTGGAAATTGTGAAAACAATCGTTAGGTCCAAACTATGCTGATGTTGCTAATCTCTTTAACAACGGTTTGGTGTTTTATAAAACTGGAAACTACGACAAAGCTAAGGTGGTTCACGAAAAGCTCCTAGAAATCTGAAACTATCGTTAAGTCCAAATTATGTTACTTGCTGGATTCCATTAATCAATCTTAATGCATTATATTACTGGAAAGTACGATACAAAGCTATAGAGTTTTACGAAAAAGTTTTAGAAATCTGAAAACAACTGCTAGGTCCAACCATGTTAGAGAAGCTGCGTCTTTATACAATATTGGTTTGGTGTATTATGATACTGGAAAGTACGACGAAGCCACAGAGTTTTACGAAAAAGCTCTAGAAATTGAAAACAAGTGTTAGGTCGAAATCATGTTGATGTTGGTTGTTCTTTAAAACAATCTTGGTTTGGTGTTTGAAAAACTGAAACTAAGACAAAGTTATAGAGGTTCACGAAAGAGCTCTGGAAATCTGAAAACAATCGTTAGGTCCAAACCATGTTGACGTTGCTCAGTCTTTGTTCAATGTTGGTTTGGTGTTTTATAAACTGAAACTACGACAAAGCCATAGCGGTTCACAAAAGCTCTAGAAATTCAAAAGCAATCTTGAACCAACCATGTTAATGTTGCTGATTCTTTAAACAATCTTTGCTATTGTGTATTATGATACTGGAAAGTAAGACAAAGCTAGAGTTTTACGAAAAAAGCCCAGGAAATCTGAAAAAACAATCGTTAGGTCCAAATCATAATGATGTTGCAGTTTCTTTAAACAATCTTGGTTTGGTGTTTGAAAACTGAAACTACAACAAAGCCATAGAGGTTCACGAAAAGCTCTAGAAATTCAAAAGAATCTTAGGTCCAAATCATGTTAATGTTGCTGTTTCTATAAAACAACTTTGCTAATGTGTATTATGATACTGGAAAGTACGACAAAGCTATAGAGTTTTACGAAAAAGCTCTGGAAATTCAAAAACAATCATTAGGTCCAAATCATGTTAATGTTGCTAAGTCATTAAAACAATCTTGGTTTTGTGTCGAAAAACTGAAACGCCACAAAGCCATAGAGGTTTCATGAAAAGCTCTTGAAATTCAAAACAATCGTTAGGTCCAAATCATGTTGATCTTGCTCAGTTCCTTTAAACAATCTTGGTGTGGTGTTTTATAAAAACTGGAAAGTACGACAAAGCCAAAGAGTTCAAGAAAAAGCTCTAGAAATTAGAAACAATCGTTAGGTCTAAACTGGCGTTGATGTTGCTAATTCTTTAATCAATCTTGGTAGTGTGTATCATAATACTGGAAAGTACGACAGTTACAGAGTTTTACGAAAAGCTCTAGAATTTCGAAACAATCGTTAGGAACCAAATCATGTGAGAGTCAAGCATGTCTTTACACTATCTTGGTTTTATGTACTATGATACAGGGAAAGTACGACGAAGCCATGGAAATTTACGAAAAGCCCTGAAGTCTGGGGTAAAAAAACAATCAATGAAGCCCTGCAAATCATGTTGATGTTGCTGATCTCTTTAAAACAATCTTGGTTTGTGCTCTTTATAAAACTGGAAACTACGACAAAGCCATAGAGGTCTTCACGAAAAGCCTCTAGAAATTCGAAAACTATCGTTAGGTCCAAATTATGTTAATGTTGATGATTCATTAATCAATCTTGGTAATGTGTATTATAATACTGGAAAGTACGACAAAGCTATAGAGGTTCACGAAAAAAAAGCTCTTAGAAATTGAAAACAACTGTTAGGTCCAATTCATGTTGATGTTGCTGTTTCTTTTAAACAATCTTGGTTTAGTGTGTATGAAAAACTGAAACTACAACAAAGCAATAGAGGTTCACGAAAAAGCCTCTAGAATCTGAAAGCAATCTTTAGGTCCAAATCATGTTAATGTTGCTGTTTCAAACAATCTTGCTACTGTGTATTATGATACTGGAAAGTAATGACAAAGCCATAGAGTTTTACGAAAAGCCTGAAACTAAAAACAATCATTAGGTCCAAATCATAATAATGTTGCTAAGTCTTTAAAACAATCTTGGTTTTGTGTTTGAAAACTGAAAACTACGACAAAGCTATAGAGGTTTACGAAAAGCCTGAAATCTAAAACAAACCTAAGCATGTCCAAATCATGTTGATCTTGCTCAGTCTTTAAACAATCTTGGTGTGGGCTCTTATAAACTGGAAAGTACTACAAAGCTAAAAGGTCTCAAGAAAAAAGCCTTGAAATTAGAAAAGCCAAATCAAAGGGTCCATAAATCATGTTGATGTTAAGCACTCTTTTTAACAAATCTTGGTTTGGTGTTTTATAAACTGAAACTACGACAAAGCTTAAGGTGGTTCACGAAAAGCTCTAGAAATCTGAAAACTATCGCTAAGTCCAAATTATGTTAATGTTGCTGATTCATTAATCAATCTTGGTAATGCATTATATTACTGGAAAGTACGATAAAGCTATAGAGTTTTACGCCGAAAAAAAGCTTTAGGAAATCTGGAAAACAACTGTTAGGTCCAACCATGTTAGAGAAGCCAGTGTCTTTATACAATATTGGTTTGGTGTATTATGATACTGGAAAGTACGATTTAGCTACAGAGTTTTACGAAAAAGCCTCCTAGAAATTCAAAACAAGTGTTAGGTCGAAATCATGTTGATGTTGGCTGTTTCTTTTAAAACAATCTTTGGCCTATGTTTGAAAAACCGGAAACTAAGACAAAGCCATAGAGGTTCACGAAAGAGCTCTGGAAATCTCAAACAATCGTTAGGTCCAACCATGCCGACGTTGCTCAGTCTTTTAAAACAATGTTGGTTTGGTGTTTTATAAACTGGAAACTACGACAAAGCTATAGCGTCTGGCAAAAAAGCTCTCAGAAATTCCAAGTGCCATCCTGAAGTCCAAATCATACATGCCGGATTCAGCCATCCATATTGTATTATATATCTGGAAAGATGCCGGTAGAAGCCATGAAAAAGCCCCTGTAGCCCGAAAACAATCGTTAGGTCCAACTTATAATGATGTTGCAGTTTCTTTTTTAAAACAATCTTGGTTTGGTGTTTGGAAAACTGAAACTACAACAAAGCCATAGAGGGTTCACGAAAAGCTCTAGGAAATTCAAAAGAATCTTTAGGTCCAAATCATGTTAATGCTGCTGTTTCTATAAACAATCTTGCTACTGTGCATTATGATACTGGAAAGCATGACAAAGCTATAGAGTTTTACGAAAAGCTCTGAAATTCAAAACAATCATTAGGTCCAAATCATGTTAATGTTGCTAAGTCATTAAACAATCTTGGTTTTGTGTTTGAAAAACTGAAAACTACGACAAAGCTTATAGAGGTTTACGAAAAAAGCTCTGAAATTCAAAAACAATCGTTAGGTCCAAATCATGTTGATCTTGCCTAGTCTTTAAATAATCTTGGTGTGGTAGTTTTATAAAACTGGAAAGTATGACAAAGCTAAAGAGGTTCAAGAAAAAGCTCTAGGAAATTAGAAAACAATCGTTAGGTCTATAACCATGTTGATGTTAAGCACTTTAATCAATCTTGGTAGTGTGCATCATAATACTGGAAAGTACGACAAAGCTACAGAGTTTTACGAAAAAGCCTCTAGGAATTTCTGAAAAACAATCGTTAGGGTCCAAATCATGCGGGAGAGTCGCTACGTCTTTTTTGTTAATTCATCTTGGTTTGGGTGTACTATGATACAGGAAAGTACGACGAAGCCATGGAAATTTTACGAAAAAGCCCTGGAAGTTCAAAAACAATCAATGGCTCCAAATCATGTTGATGTTGCTGATTCTTTTAAACAATCTTGGTTTGGTGTTTTATAAACTGAAACTACGACAAAGCCATAGAGGTTCACGAAAAAGTCCTAGAAATTGAAAACTATCAAGTAAACCAATTATGCTAATGTTGATGATTCATTAATCAATCTTGGTAATGTGTACTATAATACTGGAAAAGTACGACAAAGCTATAGAGGAAGGCTCACGAAAAAAGCTCTAGAAATCTGGAAAACAATCGTTAGGTCCAATCTCATGTTGATGTTGCTGTTTCTTTAAACAATCTTGGTTTAGTAAGAAAAACTGGAAACTACAACAAAGCAATAGAGGTTCACGAAAAGCTCTTAGAAATCTCGAAAGCAACTTTTAGGTCCAAATCATGTTAATGCTGTTGTTTTATAAACAATCTTGCTACTGTGTATTATGATAATTGGAAAGCATGACAAAGCCATAGAGTTTTACGAAAAAGCTCTTGAAATCAAAACAATCATTAGGGTCCAAATCATAATAATGTTGCTAAGTCTTAAACAATCTTGCCTTTGTGTTTGAAAAACTGAAAACTACGACAAAGCTATAGAGGCTTCATTACGAAAAGCCCCTTGAAATCCAAAAACAATCTATATGTCCAAATCATGTTGATCTTGCTCAGTCTTTAAACAATCTTAGTATGGTGTTTTATAAAACTGGAAAGCATGACAAAGCCAAAGAGGTTCAATAAGGAAAAGCTCTAGAAATTAGGAAATCAATCGTTAGTCCAAATCATGTTGATGTTACACTTTAACAAATTCCGGCTCTTGGTGTTTTATAAAACTGGAAACTACGACAAAGCTAAGGTGGTTCACGAAAAGCTCTAGGAAATTGAAACTATCGTTAAGTCCAAAATTATGTTAATGTTGCTGGATTCATTAATCAATCTTGTAATGCGTATTATATTACGGAAAGTACGATTAAAGCTTGGCAGGAGTTTTACGAAAAGCTTGAAATTGAAAACAATCGTTAGGTCCAAATCATGTTAGAGAAGGTGTCTTTATACAATATTGGTTTGCATTATGATACTGGAGCATGACGAAGCCATGATTTTGATTAATGAAAGCTCTAGAAATCTGAAAACAAGCAGTTAGGTCGAAATCATGTTGATGTTGCTGTTTCTTTAAACAATCTTGGTTTCTGAGTTTGAAAAACTGAAACTAAGATACAAAGCCATAGAGGTTCACGAAAGAGCTCCTGCAGAAATCTGGAAACAATCGTTAGGGTTTCAAAACCATGTTGATGCTGTTCGTCTTTAAACAATGTTATTTTGGTGTTTTATAAAACTGAAACTACGACAAAGCTATAGCGGTTCACAAAAAGCTCTAGAAATTCAAAAGCAATCTTTAGGTCCAAATCATGTTAATGTTGTTGATTCTTTAAACAATCTTGCTATTGTGTATTATGATACTGGAAAGTAAGATAAAGCTATAGAGTTTTACGAAAAGCTCTAGGAATTGAAACAATCGTTAGGGTCCAACTATAATGATGTTATGGTTTCTTTAAACAATCTTGGTTTGGTGTTTGGAAAACTGGAAACTACAAAAGCCATGGAGTTTCAAGAAAAGCAGAAATTCAAAAGCAATCTTTAGGTCCAAATCATGTTGATGTTGGGTTGGGATTCCTTTTTAAACAACTTTGGTTTGGTGTATTATAATTTTGAAAGGATGACAAAAGCCATAGAGTCTTAATGAAAAAAGCCTCCTGGAAATTCAAAAACAATCATTGGCTCCAAATCATGTTGATGTTGATTCGTTAAACAATCTTGGTTTAGTTTGAAACTGGAAACCATGACGAAGCTATAGGAGGTTCATATAAAGCTCTAGCAATCTGAAAACAACTGCTAGGTCCAAATCATGTTGATGTTGCTGTTTCTTTTAAACAATCTTGGTTTGGTGTTTGAAAAACTGGAAACTACGACAAAGCTAAAGAGGTTCACGAAAAGCCTCTTAGAAATTCAAAAACACCCGTTAGGTCCTAACTGCTTAATGTTGCTCTGTCTTTGAAGAATCTTGGTATGGTGTCGAGTAAAACTTGAAAAGAAAACGATTGTGCCACAGAATTTTACGAAAAAAGCTCTAGAAATTCAAAAGAATCGATAGGGTCCAAACTATGTTGATGTTGCAGTCTCTTTAAACAATCTTGGTTTCGTGTATGAAAACTGAAACTACAACAAAGCTATAGAGGTTCAATGAAAAAGCTCTAGAAATTCAAAGCACCTTTAGGTCCAAGTCATGTTAATGTTGTTGTTTCTATAAACAATCTTGCTACTGTGTCATGATACTGGAGCATGACAAAGCTTGTGTAGAGTTTTACGAAAAGCCCTGGAAATTCAAAAACAACTATTATGTCCAAATCATGTTAATGTTGCTAAGTCTTAAAACAATCTTGGTTTTGTGGGTTTGAAAAAAAACTGAAAACCATTGACAAAGCTATAGAGGTTTACGAAAAGCCTTTGAAATTCACAAAAACAATCGTTAGGTCCAAATCATGTTGATCTTGCTCAGTCTTTAAAACAATCTTGGTGTGGGTTTTATAAAACTGGAAAGTAATGATAAAGCTAAAAAAGGTTCAAGAAAAAGCTCTTGGAATTAGAAAACAATCGTTAGGTCCAAATCATGTTGATGCTAATTCTTTTTAATCAATCTTGGTAGTGTGTATCATAATACAGGAAAAGTACGATAAAGCCACAGAGTTTTACGAAAAGTTCTAGAAATCTGGAAAACAATCGTTAGGTCAAAATCATGATGCCCTGATTCTTTAAACAATCCTCGGTTTGGATTTGAAAAACTAGAAACTACGACAAAGTTTTAGAGTTCTGCTAATGAAAAAGCTCTAGATATCTGAATGCAATCTTTAACCAAATCATGTTAATGTTGCTGTTTCTATAAACAATCTTGCTACTGTGTATTATGATAATTGAAAAGTACGACAGCTATAGAGTTTTACGGAAAAAGCTATGGAAATTGAAAACAACTATTAGGTCCAAATCATGTTGATGATGCTCAGTATTTAAACAATCTTGGTATGGTGTTTTATAAAACTGGAAACTACTACAAAGCTATAGAGGTTTACGAAAAAGCTCTAGAAATTCAAAAACAATCGTTAAGTCCAAATCATGTTGATGTTACTGATTCCTTAATCAATCTTGGTAGTGAGTATCATAATACTGGAAAGTACAATGAAGCTATAGAGTTTTACGAAAAAAGCCTCTAAAAAAATTGGAAACAATCGTTAGGTCCAACTATGTTAGGAGTCGCTGTGTCTTTAAACAATCTCGGTTTGCGTTTGAAAAACTGAAACTACGACAAAGCTATGCAGGTTCACGAAGAAGCTCTAGAAATTCAAAAAGAATCGTTCGGTCACCGCGTTGATGTTGCTCTGTCTTTAAAACAATCTTGGTTTTGGTGTTATATATAACTGGAACTACGACAAATCTAAAGATGTTCACAAAAAGGTCTAGAAATTCGAAAACAATCGTTATTCCAAACTGTTGATGTTGCTGCGTCTTTGCACAATTTAGGATTGATATATTATGATACTGAAAAGTACGAAGAAGCCACAGGTCCAAATCATGTTGATGTTGCTGCGTCTTTACACAATCTTGGTTTGGTGTATTATGATACTGGTACGATTTAGGCTACAGAATTTTACGAAAAAGTTCTAGGTAAAATTCAAAACAGTCGTTAGGTGCAAATCATGCTGGATATTGCTCTTGTCTTTACAATCTTGGTATGGTGTTTTGAAAAACTGGAAACTACGACAAAGCTATAGAGCTTCACGGAAAACTCTAAAAATTCGGAAAACAATCGTTAGAAGTCTAAATCATGTTTATTTTGGCTCCAGTCTCTTTAAACAACAATCTTTGGTTTAATGTTTGAAAAACTGAACTACGACAGTTTTAGAGGTTCATGAAAGCTCTAGAAATTCAAAACAATCGTTAGGTCCAAATCATATTAGAGTCGCTGTATCTTTACACCATCTTGGTTTGTTGTATTATGATACTGGAAAGTACGACGAAGCCACAGAGTTTTACGAAAAAGCTCTAGAAATTCAAAAAGTATCGTTAGGTCCAAATCATGTAGATATTGCAGTTTCTTTAAAACAACTTTTGTTTGGTGTAATGAAAAACTGGAAACTACAACAAAGCCATTGAGGTTCACGAAAAAGCTCTAGAAATTGAAGCAATCTTTGGTCCCAATCATGTTAATGTTGCTGTTTCTACAAACAATCTTTGCTACTGTGTATTATTATACTAGAAAGTACGACAGCTATAGAGTTTTACGAAAAGCCTCTAGAAATTGGAGAAAACAATCATTAGGTCCAAAATCATGTTGATGTTGCTGATCTTTTAAACAAGCTTGGTTTTGCGTTTGAAAACTGTAAACTACGACAAAGCTATAGAGGTTCACGAAAAAAGCTCTTGAAATTTGAAAAACAATCGTTAGGTCCAAATCATGTTGATGTTGCTCAGTCTTTAAACAATCTTGGTATGGTGTTTTATAAAACTGGAAACTACGTGATGTGCTAGAGAGGTTTATGAAAAGCTCTAGAAACTCGGAAAACAATCGTTAGGTATAAATCATGTTCTTATGGTTGATTCTTTAATCAATCTTCGTAGTGTGTATCATAATACTGGAAAGTATGAAAGCTATAGATTTTACGAAAAAGCTCTAGGAAATTGAAAACAATCGTTATGTCCAACTACAAGAAGAGTCGCTGCCTCTTTACAATAACTTTTATTCTTGGTGTGGTATTATGATACTGAAAATACGACGAAGCCGAGTTTCATAAAAACTTGGTGAAATTCGAACAACTGTTAGGTCCAAATCATGTTGATGTTGCTGTTTTAAAACAACTTTTGGTTTGGTGTTTGAAAACTGGAAACTACGACAAAGCCAAAGAGTTTCACGAAAAAAGCTCTAGGAAATTGAAAAAACTATCATTAGGTCTAAATCATGTTGATGTTGTTGCGTCATTACACAATTCTAGGATTGTGTATTATGATACTGGAATGTACGACGAGGCCACAGTGAGTTTTACAAAAAGCTCTAGAAATTAGAAAACAATCATTAGGTCCAAATCATGTTGATGTCGCTCAGTCTTTAAACAATGTTGGTTTGGTGTTTTATAAACTGGAAACTATGACAAAGCTTTAGAGGTTCACGAAAAAGCTCTAGAAATTGAAAAGAATCGTTAGGTCCTTAATCATGTTAGGAGTCGCTGCGTCTTTACACAATCTTGGTTTGCGTATTATACACTGGAAAGTACGACGAGGCCACAGAGTTTTACGAAAAAGCTCTAGAAATTCGGAAAACAATCGTTAGGGTCTAAATCATGTTGATGTCGCTCAGTCTTTAAAACAATGTTGGTTTGGCGTTTTATAAACTGAAACTACGACAAAAGCCATAAAGGTCTACGAAAAAGCCCTGGAAATCTGAAACCATTGTTAGGTCCAAATCATGTTGGATTTTGCAGAGTCTTTAGACAATCTTGGTTTGGTGTTTTATAAAATCAAAACTACGACAAAGCTATAGAAGTCCACGAAAAAAGCTCTAGAAATCGAAAACAATCGTTAGGTGCAAATCATGTTGATGTTATTAGTTTCTAAACAATCCTGGCCTGGTGTTTGAAAATTGGAAACTACGACAAAGCTAAAGAGGTTCACGAAAAAGTTGTAGAAATTCGAAAACTATCGTTAGGTCCAAATCATAATAATGTTGCTAAGTCTTTAAACAATCTTGGTTTTGTGTTTGAAAAAACTGAAAACTACGACAAAGCCATAGAGGTTTACGAAAAGCCTTGAAATTCAAAAAATAACTGATATAGTCCAACTATGTTGATCTTGCCTAGTCTTTAAACAATCTTAGTATGGTGTTTTATAAACTGAAAGTACGACAAAGCCAAAGAGGTTCAAGGAAAAGCTCTAGGAAATTAGGAAAATCAATCGTTAGGTCCAAATCATGTTGATGTTAAGCACTTTAACAAATCTTGGTTTGCGTTTTATAAAACTGGAACCATGACAAAGCCATAGTGGTCTACGAAAAGCTCTAGAAATCTGAAAACTATCGTTAAGTCCAAATTATAAGTTAATGTTATTGATTCCATTAACTAATCTGGTGCAATGCATTATATTGAAAGTAATGATAAAGCTATAGAGTTTTACAAAAAGCTTTAGAAATTGAAAAACAATCGTTAGGTCCAAATCATGTTAGAGAAGCTGCGTCTTTATACAATATTGGTTTGGTGTATTATGATACTGAAAGTACGATTTAGCCACAGAGTTTTACGAAAAGCCTCTAGGAAATTGGAAAACAAGTGTTAGGGTCGAAATCATGTTGATGTTGCTGTTTCTTAAACAATCTTGGTTTGCGTTTGAAAAACTGGAAACTAAGACAAAGCCATAGAGGTTCACGAAAGAGCCTCTGAAATCTGAAAACAATCGTTAGGTCCAAACCATGTTGACGTTGCTCAGTCTTTAAACAATGTTGGTTTGGTGTTTTATAAAACTGGAAACTACGACAAAGCTATAGCGGTTCACAAAAAGCTCTAGAAATTCAAAAGCAATCTTGTTAGTCCAAATCATGTTAATGTTGCTGATTCTTTGCAAACAATCTTGCTATTGTGTATTATGATACTGGAAAGTAAGACAAAGCCATAGAGTTTTAGCGAAAAAGCTCTAGAAATCTGAAAAACAATCGTTAGGTCCAAATCATAATGATGTTGCAGTTTCTTTTAAAACAATCTTGGTTTGGTGTTTGAAAAACTGGAAACTGGCAACAAAGCCATAGAGGTTCACGAAAAGCTCTAGAAATTCAAAAGCAATCTTTAGGTCCAAATCATGTTAATGTTGTTGTTTCTATAAACAATCTTGCTAATGCATTATGATACTGGAAAGTGATGATGCTTATAGAGTTTTACTAGAAAAAGCTCTGGAAATTCAAAACAATCATTAGGTCTAAATCATGTTAATGTTAAGCCATTAAACAATCTTGGTTTTGTGTTTGAAAAATTGAAAACTACGACAAAGCTATAGAGGTTTACGAAAAGCTCTTGAAATTCAAAACAATCGTTAATAGGGTCCAAATCATGTTGATCTTGTCTAGTCTTTAAACAATTTTGGTGGTGTTTTATAAAACTGGAAAGTACGACAAAGCAAGAGGTTCAAGAAAAAGCTCTAGAAATTAGGAAAGAATCGTTAGGTCTAAATCATACATGTTAAGCACTTTAATCAATCTTGGTAGTGTGTATCATAATACTGAAAGTACGATTAAAGTTTCACAGAGTTTTACGAAAAGCCTCTAGAATTTCGAAAACAATCGTTAGGTCCAAATCATGTGAGAGTCGCTACGTCTTTACACTATCTTGGGCTCTGGTGTACTACGATACAGGAAAGTACGACGAAGCCATGGAAATTGCATGAAAAGCCCTGGAAGTCTGGGGTAAAAACAATCAATGGCTCCAAATCATGTTGATGTTGCTGATTCTTTAAACAATCTTGGTTTGGTAGTTTTATAAAACTGGAAACTACGACAAAGCCATATAGAGGTTCACGAAAAAGCTCTAGAAATTGAAAAACTATCGTTAGGTCCAAATTATGTTAACGTTGATGATTCATTAATCAACCTTGGTAATGTGTATTATAATAATTGGAAAGTACGACAAAGCCATAGAGGTTCACGAAAAGCTCTAGAATCTGAAAACAATCGTTAGGTCCAACTATGTTGATGTTGCTGTTTCTTTAAACAATCTTGGTTTAGGCGTATGAAAAAACTGGAACCATAACAAAGCAATAGAGGGCCCACGAAAAAGCTCTTAGAAATTCGAAAGCAATCTTTAGTCCAAATCATGTTAATGTTGCTGTTTCTATAAACAATCTTGCTACTGTGTATTATGATACTGGAAAGTACGACAAAGCTATAGAGTTTTACGAAAAAGCTCTGAAATTCAAAAACAACCAATAGGTCCAAATCATAATAATGTTGCTAAGTCTTTAAACAATCTTGGTTTCGTGCTTGAAAACCGTTCCATGACAAAGCCATAGAGGTTTACGAAAAGCTCTTTTGAAATTCAAAAACAATCGATATGTCCAAATCATGTTGATCTTGCTCAGTCTTTAAACAATCTTAGTATGGTGTTTTATAAAACTGGAAAAGTACGACAAAGCCAAAGAGGTTCAAGGAAAGCTCTAGACTAGGAAATCAATCGTTAGGTCCAAATCATGTTGATGTTAAGCACTTTTAACAAATCTTGGTTTGGTGTGTTTTATAAACTGGAAACTACGACAAAGCCAAGGTGGTTCACGAAAAAGCTCTAGAATTCGAAAACTATCGTTAAGTCCAAATTATGTTAATGTTGCTGATTCATTAATCAATCTTGGTAATGCGTATTATATTACTGGAAAGTACGATAAAGCCATAGAGTTTTACGAAAAAGCTTTTAGAAATCTGAAACAATCGTTAGGTCCAAATCATGTTAGAGTAGCTGCGTCTTTATACAATATTGGTTTGCATATGATACTGAAAGTACGATTTAGCCACAGAGTTTTACGAAAAGCTCTAGAAATCTGAAAACAAGTGTTAGGTCGAAATCATGTTGATGTTGGTTGTTTCTTTAAACAATCTTGGTTTGGTGTTTTGAAAAACTGGAAACTAAGACAAAGCTATAGAGGTTCACGAAGAGCTCTGGAAATTCGAAAACAATCGTTAGGTCCAAACCATGTTGACGTTGCTCAGTCTTTAAACAATGTTGGTTTGGTGTTTTATAAACTGTTCATGACAAAGCTATAGCGGTTCACAAAGCTCTAGAAATTCAAAAAGCAAAATCTTTAGGTCCAAATCATGTTAATGTTGCTGGATTCTTTTAAAACAACTTGCTATTGTGTATTATGATACTGGAAAGTAAGATGAAAGCTATAGAGTTTTACGAAAAGCTCTAGAAATCTGGAAAGAATTAGTCCAATCATAATGATGTTATGGTTTCTTTAAACAATCTTGGTTTGGTGTTTGAAAACGGAAACTACAAAAAGCCATGGAGTTTCAAGAAAAGCAGTAGAAATTCAAAAAGCAATCTTTAGGTCCAAATCATGTTGATGTTGCTGATTCTTTAAACAATCTTGGTTTATGTATTATAATTCTGGAAAGTGCCACGCCATAGAGTCTTACGAAAAAGCCCTGAAATTCAAAAACAATCATTGGTCTTAAATCATGTTGATGTTGCTGATCTGTTAAACAATCTTGGTTTAGTGTTTGAAAACTGAAACCATGACGAAGCCATAGAGGTCTATATATATAAAAGCCTCTAGCAACTGGAAAACAATCGTTAGGTCCAAATCATGTTGATGCTGCTGTTTCTTTAAACAATCTTGGTTTGTGTTTGAAAAACTGGAAACTACGACAAAGCTAAAGAGGTTCACGAAAAAGCTCTTAGAAATTCAAAACACCCGTTAGGTCCCAATCATGTTAATGTTGTTTGTCTTTGAAGAATCTTGGTATGGTGTTTTATAAAACTTGAGAACGACAAAGCCACAGAATTTTACGAAAAGCTCTAGAAATTCAAAAGAATGATAGGTCCAAATCATGCTTGATGTTGCAGTTTCTTTTAAAACAATCTTGGTTTGGTGTATGAAAAACTGGAAACTACAACAAAGCCATAGAGGTTCACGAAAAAGCTCTAGAAATTCAAAAGCAATCTTTAGGTCCAAGTCATGTTAATGTTGCTGCTTCATAAAACAATCTTGCTACTGTGCATTATGATACTGAAAGCATGACAAAGCCATAGGAGTTTTACGAAAAGCCCTGGAAACTAAAACAATCATTATGTCCAAATCATGTTAATGTTGCTAAGTCTTTAAACAATCTTGGTTTTGTGTTTGAAAAACTGAAAACTACGACAAAGCTATAGAGGTTTATTGAAAAAGCTCTTTGAAATTCAAAACAATCGTTAGGTCCAAATCATGTTGATCTTGCTCAGTCTTTAAACAATCTTGGTGTGGGTTTTATAAAACTGGAAAGCATGACAAAGCTAAAAAAAGGTTCAAGAAAAAGCCTTTGAAATTAGAAAACAATCGTTAGGGTCCAAATCATGTTGATGTTGCTAATTCTTGAATTCCACCCTGTGGTAGTAAAATAATACAGGAAAGTACGATTAAAGCTACAGAGTTTTACGAAAAGCTCTAGAAATCTGGAAAACAATCGTTAGGTCAAAATCATGTTGATGTTCCTGATTCTTTAAAACAATCCTCGCTCTAGACGAAAAATCCAGAAACTACGACAAAGTTTTAGAGCTCACGAAAAAGCCTCTAGATATCTGAATGCAATCTTTTGGTCCAAATCATGTTAATGTTGCTGTTCTCGAGAAACAATCTTATACTGTGTATTATGATACTGGAAAAGTACGACAAAGCTATAGAGTTTTATTGAAAAAGCTTGCGAAATCTGGAAACAATCATTAGGTCCAAATCATGTTGATGATGTGCTCAGTATTTAAAACAATCTTGGTATGGTGTTTTATAAACTGGAAACTACTACAAAGCTATAGAGGTCGGGCTGAAAAGCTCTAGAAATTCAAAAACAATCGTTAAGTCCAAATCATGTTGATGTTACTGATTCCCTTTAATCAACTTTGCAGTGTGTATCATAATACCTGGAAAGTACAACAAAGCTATAGAGTTTTAATGAAAAGCTCTAAAATTCGGAAAACAATCGTTAGGGTCCAAATCATGTTAGAGTCGCTGTGTCTTTTAAACAATCCTTTGGTTTGGTGTTTGAAAAAACTGGAAACTACGACAAAGCTATACAGGTTCACGAAGAAGCTCTAGAAATTCAAAAAGAATCGTTCGGTCAATGTTGATGTTGCTCAGTCTTTAAACAATCTTGGTTTGGTGTTATATATAACTGGAAATCCATGACAAATCTAAAGATGTTCACAAAAAGCTCTAGAAATTCGAAAACAATCAAGCATTCCAAATCATATTGATGTTGCTGCGTCTTTGCACAATTTAGGATTGATATATTATGATACTGAAAAGTACGAAGGCCACAGGTCCAAATCATGCTGATGTTGCTGCGTCTCATAATAATCTTTTGGTTTGGTGTATTATGATACTGGAAAGTACGACGAAGCCACAGAATTTTACGAAAAAAGTTCTAGAAATTCAAAACAGTCGTTAGTGCAAACTGGCGTTGATATTGCTCTGTCTTTAAGCAATCTGGTATGGTGTGTTTGAAAACTGGAAACTACGACAGCTATAGAGCTTCACGGAAAAACCTCTAAAAATCTGGAAAACAATCGTTAGGTCTAAATCATGTTTATTTTGGCCTAGTCTTTAAACAATCTTGGTTTTGAAAAACTGGAACCATGACAAAGTTTTAGAGGTTCATGAAAGCTCTAGAAATTCAAAACAATCGTTAGGGTCCAAATCATATTAGAGTCGCTGTATCTTTACACCATCTTGGTTTTGTTGTATTATGATACTGGAAAGCATGATTTGTATTTCAGCGGTATTTTACGAAAAAGCCTCTAGAAATTCAAAAAGTATCGTTAGGTCCAAATCATGGTGATATTGCAGTTTCCTCTTTAAACAATAACTTTGTTTGGTGTATGAAAAACTGGAAACTACAACAAAGCCATTGAGGTTCACGAAAAAGCTCTAGAAATTGAGCAATCTTTGGTCCCAATCATACACGTTGCTGTTTCTAAGCAAACAATCTTGCTACTGTGTATTATTATAATTAGAAAGTACGACAAAGCTATATAGAGTTTTACGAAAAGCTCAGAAATCTGAAAACAATCATTAGGTCCAAATCATGTTGATGTTGTTGATTCTTTAAACAAGCTTGGTTTGGTGTTTGAAAACTGTAAACTACGACAAAGCTATAGAGGTTCACGAAAAGTTCTTGAAATTTGAAAACAACTGTTAGGTCCAAATCATGTTGATGTTGCTCAGTCTTTAAACAATCTTGGTATGAGGTTTATAAAACTGAAACGATGACAAAGCTAGAGAGGTTTACAAAAAGCTCTAGAAACTCGAAACAATCGTTAGGTATAAATCATGTTCTTTACAAGGATTCTTTAATCAATCTCTTCGTAGTGTGTATCATAATACTGGAAAGTATGAAAAGCTATGATTTTACGAAAAAGCTCTAGAAATCTGGAAACAATCGTTATGTCCAAATCATGTTAGAGTCGCTGCCTCTTTACACAATCTTGGTTTGGTGTATTATGATACTGGAAAATACGACGAAGCCACTGAGTTTTAAGCAAAAATCTCTATAAAACGGAAAACAATCGTTAGGTCCAACTATGTTGATGTTGTTTTCGCCTCTTTTAAACAATCTTGGTTTGGTGTTTGAAAAAACTGGAAACTACGACAAAGCTAAAGAGTTTCACGAAAAAGCTCTAGAAATTCGAAAACTATCGTTAGGTCTAAATCATGTTGATGTTGCTGCGTCATTACACAATTCTAGGATTGGTGTAGCTATGATACTGAATGCATGATTTATAGCTACAGAGTTTTATGCAAAAAGCTCTTAGGAAATTAGGAAACAATCATTAGGTCCAAATCATGTTGATGTCGCTCAGTCTTTAAACAATGTTGGTTTGGTGTTTTATAAACTGGAAACGATGACAAAGTTTTAGAGGTTCACGAAAAGCTCTAGAAATTCGGAAAAAGAACTGTTAGGTCCTAATCATGTTAGAGTCGCTGCGTCTTTACACAATCTTGGTTTGCGTATTATGACACTGGAAAGTACGACGAGGCCATAGAGTTTTACGAAAAGCTCAGAAATCTGAAAACAATCGTTAGGTCCAAATCATGTTGATGTCGCTCAGTCTTTAAACAATGTTGGTTTGGAGGTTTATAAAACTGAAACTACGACAAAGCTTATAAAGGTTCACGAAAAGCTCTGGAAATCTGAAACTATTGTTAGGTCCAAATCATGTTGATTTTGCAGAGTCTTTAGATAATCTTTATTTGGTGTTTTATAAAACTGGAAACTACGATAAAGCTTATAGAAGTCCACGAAAAAGCCTCTAGGAAATTCGAAAACAATCGTTAGGTGCAACTCATGTTGATGTTGCTGTTTCTTTAAAACAATCTTGGTTTGCGTTTGAAAAATTGGAAACTACGTGATAAAGCAAAGAGGTCTACGAAAAAGTTGTAGAAATTGAAAACTATCGTTAGGTCTAAATCATGCTGATGTTGCTGCGTCTTTACACAATTCTAGTATCGGTGTATTATGATACTGGAAAAAGTACGATAGCTTCACAGAGTTTTACGAAAAGCTCTAGGAAATTGAAAACAATCGTTAGGGTCCAAATCATGTTGATGTTGCTCAGTCTTTAAACAATGTTTGTTTGGTGGTTTTATAAAACTGGAAACTACGATGTTTCTTTTTATAGGTTCACGAAAAGGTCTAGAAATCTGAAAAGATCTACATAGGTCCAAATCATGTTAGGAGTCGCTGCGTCTTTACACAATCTTTGTTTGCGTATTATGACACTGGAAAGTACGACGAGGCCAGAGTTTTACGAAAAAAAGCTCTAGAAATCTGAAAACAATCGTTAGGTGCAAATCATGTTGATGTTGCTGTTTCTTTTAAACAACTTTGGTTTGCGTTTGAAAAATTGGAAACTACGACAAAGCCAAAGAGGTTCAATGGTGTTGTAGAAATCTGAAAACTATCGTTAGGTCTAAATCATGTTGATGTTGCTGCGTCTTACACAATTTAGCATTGGTGTATTATGATACTGGAAAAGTACGATGAAGCCAAGCAGGAGTTTTACGAAAAAAGCCTAGAAATTGAAACAATCGTTAGGTACAAATCATGTTGATGTTGCTCAGTCTTTAAACAATGTTTGTTTGGTGTTTTATAAAACTGAAACCATGACAAAGCTTTATAGGTTCACGAAAAAGTCGAAATTGAAAAAAGATCTGTTAGGTCCAAATCATGTTAGAGTCGCTGCGTCTTTACACAATCTTGGTTTGGTGTATTATGACACTGGAGTACGATTTGAGGCCACAGGAGTTTTACGAAAAAGCTCTAGAAATCTGGAAGAAAAACAATCGTTAGGTCCAAATCATGTTGATGTCGCCTAGTCTTTAAACAATGTTAATTTCCATGTTTTATAAAACTGGAAACCATGATAAAAGCTTATAAAGGTTCACGAAAAGCTCTGAAATCTGAAAACCATTGTTAGGGTCCAAATCATGTTGATTTTGCAGAGTCTTTAGACAATCTTGGTTTGCGTTTTATAAAACTGGAAACTGATGACAAAGCCATAGAAGTCCACGAAAAAGCTCTTAGAAATCTGAAAACAATCGTTAGGTAAATCATGTTGATGTTGTTGCTCTTTAAACAATCTTGGTTTGGTGTTTGAAAAATTGAAACTACGACAAAGCCAAAGAGGTTCACGAAAAGTTGTAGAAATTGAAAACTATCGTTAGGGTCTAAATCATGTTGATGTTAAGGTGTCTTACACAATTTAGCATTGGTGTATTATGATGATTGGAAAGTACGATGAAGCCAGAGTTTTACGAAAAGCTCTAGAAATCTGAAAACAACTAGGGTCCAAATCATGTTGATGTTGCTCAGTCTTGTTCTGTTTGGTGTTTTATAAAACTGGGAAAACTACGACAAAGCTTTATAGGTTCACGAAAAAGCTCTAGAAATTCAAAGCATCTGTTAGGTCCAAATCATGTTAGAGTCGCTGCGTCTTTACACAATCTGGTTTGGTGTATTATGACACTGGAAAAATACGAGGCTACAGAGTTTTACGAAAAAAGCTCTAGAAATCTGAAAACAATCGTTAGGTCCAAATCATGTTGATGTTGCTCAGTCTTTAAACAATCTTGGTATGGTGTTTTATAAAACTGGAAACTACGACAAAGCTAGAGAGGTTTTATGAAAAAAGCTCTAGAAACTCGAAACAATCGTTATGTCCAATCATGCTAGAGTCGCTGCCTCTTTACACAATCTTGGTTTGGTGTATTATGATACTGGAAAATACGACGAAGCCACTGAGTTTTACGAAAAATCTCTAGAAATTCGAAAACAATCGTTAGGTCCAAATCATGTTGATGTTGCTGTTTCTTTAAACAATCTTGGTTTGGTGTTTGAAAAAACTGGAAACTACGACAAAGCCAAAGAGTTAATGAAAAAGTTCTAGAAATCTGAAAACCATCGTTAGGTCTAAATCATGTTGATGTTGCTGCGCCATTACACAATTTAGGATTGGTGTATTATGATTACTGAATGTAATGACGAGGCTACAGAGTTTTACAAAAAAGCTCTAGAAATTAGAAACAATCATTAGGTCCAACTCATGTTGATGTCGCCTGTCTTTTAAACAATGTTGGTTTCAGGTTTTATAAACTGGAATCCATGACAAAGCTTCTTTTAGAGGTCCAAGTTTTTCTTCCGCAAAACCAGTGCTAACGCCAGCCAACGTCTTTACACAATCTTGTTTGTGTATTATGACACTGAAAGTACGACGAGGCCACAGGAGTTTTACGAAAATCTCTAGAAATCTGGAAACAATCGTTAGGTCTGAAATCATGTTGATGTCGTCAGTCTTTAAACAATGTTGGTTTGGCGTTTTTATAAAACTGGAAACTGATGACAAAGCCATAGGTCTACGAAAAAAAGCTCTGGAAATTCGAAAACCATTGTTAGGTCCAAATCATGTTGATTTTGCAGAGTCTTTAGACAATCTTGGTTTGGTGTTTTATAAACTGGAAACTACGACAAAGCTTACAGAAGTCCACGAAAAGCTCTAGAAATTGAAAAACAATCGTTAGGTGCAACTGGTGTTGATGTTGCTGCTCTTTAAACAATCTTGGTTTGGTGTTTGAAAAAATTGGAAACTACGACAAAGCTAAAGAGGTTCACGAAAAAGTTGTAGAAATTCGAAAACTATCGTTAGGTCTAAACATGTTGATATGTCTTTACAATTTAGCATTGGTGTGTATTATGATACTGGAAAGTATTTACAGCCACAGAGTTTTACGCTGAAAAAGCTCTTAGAAATCTGGAAAACAATCGTTAGGTCCAAATCATGTTGATGCTGCCTAGTCTTTAAACAATGTTTGTTTGGTGTTATATAAAACTGAAACTACGACAAAGCTTCTTTTGGGGAGGTTCACGAAAAGCTCTAGAAATTGAAAAGAATCGTTAGGTCCAAATCATGTTAGAGTCAAGCTGCAGTTCCTTTACACAATCTTTGGTTTGTGTATTATGACACTGGAAAGTGCCGATGAGGCTACAGAGTTTTACGAAAGCCTCTAGAAATCTGGAAAAAACAACCGTTAGGTCCAAATCATGTTGATGTCGCCTAGTCTTTAAACAATGTTGGTTTGGCGTTTTATAAACTGGAAACTACGATAAAGCTTATAAAGGTTCACGAAAGCTCTGGAAATCTGAAAACCATTGTTAGGTCCAAATCATGTTGATTTTGCAGAGTCTTTAGACAATCTTAGCTCTTGGTGTTTTATAAAACTGGAAACTACGACAAAGCCATAGGAAGTCCACGAAAAAGCTCTAGAAATTCGAAAACACCGTTAGGTGCAACTGCGTTGATGTTGCTGCTCTTTAAAACAATCTTGGTTTGGTGTTTGAAAAATTCGGAAACCACACAAAGCTAAAGAGGTTCAATACGAAAAAGTTGTAGAAATTCGAAAACTATCGTTAGGTCTAAATCATGTTGATGTTGCTGCGTCTTTACACAATTCTAGCATTGGTGTATTATGATACTGGAAAGTACGATGAAGCCAAGGTGATTTTACGAAAAGCCTCCTAGAAATCTGAAAACAATCGTTAGGTCCAAATCATGTTGATGTTGCTCAGTCTTTAAACAATGTTTTGTTTGGTGTTTTATAAAACTGGAAACCATGACAAAGCTTTATAGGGTTCACGAAAAAGCTCTTAGAAATTCGAAAAGATTCGTTAGGTCCAAATCATGTTAGAGTCGCTATGTCTTTTTACACAATCTTGGTTTGGTGTATTATGATACTGGAAAGTACGACGAGGCCACAGAGTTTTACGAAAAAGCTCTAGAAATTCGGTCAACCGTTAGGTCCAAATCAATATGTTGATGTCGCCTAGTCTTGCAAACAATGTTGGTTTCCATAGTTTTATAAACTGGAAACTACGACAAAGCTATAAAGGTTCACGAAAAAGCTCTGGAAATTCGAAAACCATTGTTAGGTCCAAATCATGTTGATTTTGCAGAGTCTTTAGACAATCTTGGTTTGGTGTTTTATAAAACTGGAACTACGACAAAGCCATAGAAGTCCACGAAAAGCTCTAGAAATCTGAAAACAATCGTTAGGTGCAATCATGTTGATGTTGCTGTTTCTTTAAAACAATCTTGGTTTGCGTTTGAAAAATTGGAAACTACGACAAAGCTAAAGAGGTTCACGAAAAGTTGTAGAAACTCGAAAACTATCGTTAGGTCTAACCATGTTGATGTTTGCTGCGTCTTTACACACAATTTAGCATTGGCATTATGATACTGGAAAGTACGACGAGGCCACAGGAGCCTTATAAAAAAAGCTCCTAGAAATCTGAAACAATTCCAGTTTAAATCATGTTGATGTTGCTGCGTCTTGCTAATAATCTTGGTTTGGTGTATTATGATACTCTGGAAAGTACGATTTGTGCTTCAACAGAATTTTACGAAAAAGTTCAGAAACCTACAAAAAACAGTCGTTAGGTGCTAATCATGTTGATATTGCTCTGTCTTTAAGCAATCTTGGTATGGTGTTTTGAAAACTGAAACTACGACAAAGCTATAGAGGTTCACGAAAAAAAAGCTCTAAAAAATCTGAAAACAATCGTTAGGTCTAAATCATGTTTATTTTGCCCAGTCTTTAAACAATCTTGGCTTCTAATGCTCTGAAAACTGAAACTACGACAAAGCTTTAGATGTTCATGAAAAGCTCTAGAAATTCAAAAACAATCGTTAGGTCCAAATCATATTAGAGTCGCTGTGTCTTTACACCATCTTGGTTTGGTGTATTATGATACTGGAAAGTACGACGAAGCCACAGAGTTCTACGAAAAAGCTCTAGAAATTCAAAAAGTATCGTTAGGTCCAAATCATGTAGATATTGCAGTTTCTTTAAACAATCTTTGTTTGGTGTATGAAAACTGGAAACTATAACAAAGCTTAATATTGAGGTCTACGAAAAAGCCTCTAGAAATCTCGAGATGCCAACTTTTAGGTCCCAATCATGTTAATGTTGCTGTTTCTATAAACAATCTTGGTTACTGTGTATTATTATACTAGAAAGTACGACAAAGCTATAGAGTTTTACGAAAAAGCTCTTGGAAATCTGAAAACAATCATTAGGTCCAAATCATGTTGATGTTGCTGATTCTTTAAACAATCTTGGTTTGGTGTTTGAAAAAACTGTAAACTACGACAAAGCTATAGAGGTTCACGAAAAAGCTCTTGAAATTTGAAAACAATCGTTAGGTCCAAATCATGTTGATGTTGCTCAGTCTTTAAACAATCTTGGTATGGTGTTTTATAAAACTGGAAACTACGACAAAGCTATAAAGGTTCACGAAAAAGCTCTGGAAATTCGAAAACCATTGTTAGGTCCAAATCATGTTGACTTTGCAGAGTCTTTAGACAATCTTGGTTTGGTGTTTTATAAAACTGGAAACTACGACAAAGCTATAGAAGTTCACGAAAAGCTCTAGAAATTCGAAAACAATCGTTAGGTCCAAATCATGTTGATGTTGCTGTTTCTTTAAACAATCTTGGTTTGGTGTTTGAAAAATTGGAAACTACGACAAAGCTAAAGAGGTTCACGAAAAGCTCTAGAAATTCGAAAACAATCGTTAGGTCCAAATCATGTTGATGTTGCTGCGTCTTTAAACAATCTTGGCATTGGTGTATTATGATACTGGAAAGTACGACAAAGCCACAGAGTTTTACGAAAAAGCTCTAGAAATTCGAAAACAATCGTTAGGTCCAAATCATGTTGATGTTGCTCAGTCTTTAAACAATCTTGGTTTGGTGTTATATAAAACTGGAAACTACGACAAAGCTATAAAGGTTCACGAAAAGCTCTAGAAATTCGAAAACATTCGTTAGGTCCAAATCATGTTGATGTCGCTGCGTCTTTACACAATCTTGGTTTGGTGTATTATGAAACTGGAAAGTACGACAAAGCTATAGAGGTTTACGAAAAAGCTCTAGAAATTCGAAAACAATCGTTAGGTCCAAATCATGTTGATGTCGCTCAGTCTTTAAACAATCTTGGTTTGGTGTTTTATAAAACTGGAAACTACGACAAAGCTATAAAGGTTCACGAAAAAGCTCTGGAAATTCGAAAACAATTGTTAGGTCCAAATCATGTTGATTTTGCAGAGTCTTTAGACAATCTTGGTTTGGTGTTTTATAAAACTGGAAACTACGACAAAGCTATAGAAGTCCACGAAAAAGCTCTAGAAATTCGAAAACAATCGTTAGGTGCAAATCATGTTGATGTTGCTGTTTCTTTAAACAATCTTGGTTTGGTGTATTATAATACTGGGAAGTACGACAAAGCTAAAGAGTTTCACAAAAAAGCCTTGGAAATTCGAAAAAAATCTTTAGGTCCAAAACATATTGATGTGCTGCATCTTTAAGCCATCTCGGTTTGGTTTATGATAAAACAGAAAATTACGACAAAGCTACAAAGTTTTTTGAAAAATCTCTAGAAGTTCGAAAACGGAATGTGACAGGTAAGCACAATACTCATGTCTTTGCGTCATTGAGCAAATTTTATACGATGTACGAAGAAACTGAAAAATACGAGTCTCAAAAAACATAGAGTAAATTTCCAGTTGCAAGTCATGCTCATTTTTCTCTGTCATCAAAATATTTTGGTAAGTTTGTAGGTATTATATACAACATAATGTTGGTGGCTCATTTGCGTTAATGATATTTTGTTGAAGTGCAACTCCGGCCAATTTTCACTCCATGTTTCTTTCGCCAAAAGAAAAATTTTTTTTTGGGAAACATTTTGGTTTATGTTTGAGCATTTTTGGTTTGGTATATGTTGTTTAATTTTAACGCGAAATTTCGCCACTGGATGCGAATTTTTACAAATGGATCGTGATGTCATATGATTTTCCCACCTCGCTAGTTTATTATATTACTATGAACAAATGCCAGCGTGGAGCATCAATAATATTTAATTTTTAGTCAAAAATGAGTTTTATTCTGCAAAGTTTGGCAAAAGTATTAAAAAGAGGCAAAAGTATCAATACAAATATTGGCTAACAAATCTTTGGAGGACGCAATTTTGTCAAAAAGTTCCTCAACGAAGTTTGTTAACGCTGACATTCATAAAGAATACAAATAGTTATCAAATGTATTCTGCCGTTCTTGTATTAAATGTTGGACACTTTGATTCTAAAAATAAGCTTTAAAATGTGTAACTCTTGAAGATGAAGCTTTCTGCATTGATGTCTCGACCACAGGTGTTGTTGTAACTTGTAATTGTCACAAAGTTGCTGAGAATATCGTAACTATTAACCATAGTCTATATGCAGACATTACTGAACTGGAGAATCAGCTCTTTAGGGAAAATATACTGGCACAAAGTTTTGCATCCGTCAAATCAATAGGTACATTAATGGCTTGGGCATTAATATTAATGTCAAATTTAATTCATGTTTTTTGTGTCTAATTCCAACTATTTGAGATCCGTAGCTTATTGATGGCTTTTAATATGTTTCAGTCGGCTAAGAATACATACAAATTTCATAGTATCATACAAAAAAATTTGGCCATAATGAATTGAAAGTCCTAGATTTAAGTGGTTCATTGACATAGAAATTGTTTTATGTGAGAAATGGGTTATTCATTTTGGTTATAGACAAACAAAAGAACCAAAGCAATAATTAAAACGCAGTTGGGATTCATATTTACATTAATAAACAAAAAGAATAATTCAAAAATCTACCTATAAACTGAAAACATATACATAAAACCCGCTCTAAAGTACAGTGAGATAGAAACAAAACGTTTTAATCAAACAAACATTGCTCAAGATATGTAACAGCTATAAACTCTTTATTAGTTGTAAGATTCAATTATAACACTGCACTAACTTAGAGACAATAGTATTCCATATACCTGGTGTCTATTTCAAAGTAACTCATAGAATTAAAGCATACATTTAAATATCGTCTTTTAATATATACGTATCAAAATTTAAACACACTTTGAGTCTTGACATCGTAGAAAATTTTTTATTTTACCAAACTCAGCTCTGTGAAAATTATGTATTTGAAAAATCATAGGCTGAAAAATTGACAAACATTGGAAATAAATAAGGATGATTTTAAAACAGACATATTATAACATGATTATGCCATTTTGAGTGTATTACTTTTTACAGCAAGAAAATATTATGTCATTTATACATGTCGCAGATATTAAATTACAGTGGGAAAGTAGAAATGTTATTAAAAGTTAAAATTAGAATTATAATGTATTTTTTTGCAGAGATCTAGTTTTATCAAGTTGCTTAATATAAAGCATAAATAAATGATTTGAGCAATAAAGATAGCAAAAGCTTGACAAAACATGTGTCTACATATTATCAAATCGTGGTCTGTATGAAATGTTTAACTGCTATTTTGCTACTAATAAATTATTGAAACTACATTGACATAGTGTTACTGACATTGATACCAAACATAATTATAGCAATTCCAGTCATGTATCCTGCAGAATGTTTCTCTAACTTTATAAAGGTGTTACAGATGATTTTTTAAATTCTTAGATCCTTTGCAGTTCTTGTTTACTAATTCAAAAATATTATACCTATCACTTTTTCCCTTGTTTATTCGTTACGCTTATCTATTTTCCAGGAATACAATTCAATTTCATTTCATAACTGACAAAAATTTGCGACGATAAGTTGATTGTTTAATGAAAGTAAAGCGCCAAGGTAGGAGTAAACAAGCCACATATTGCGATAAAATTTCTATGTTTGACCGATCTTTCTTAATTGTCTCGACTCCGTAGGGAAAGGCAGCCTTCTCAACAAATTGAGCGATTCGGCAAGGATTCCATATACATTAAAGGAAAAGAGAATCGTCAACGAGAAATGAATTCGAACTTTTAAGTAGCTATTAATTAAGAAACCATTCATTTACTCTGTTTAGGAACAAAATTCGTCTATTTTCTACGCTTTTGGGTGCTTGCGTATTTTTAAAAACTTTTGAATATATATATATATATATATATATATATATATATATATATATATATATATAGAAGTTTATAATTTATGATTTTCCGTATAAAACATTTAATGAATCGTTAAATCCCCTGAAGAGTGAGCAATCACGAAACAGGCTTGTCGGGATGAATCTGTAGTTTTGTGATTTTTCTCAACACCACTATATATATATATATATATATACAGTGTGTGACGATAATGTATGATTAAAATAATTCCAAACTTTTCTTTTAAATTCATCAGTAAATAAACAACAACGCTAAAATATGTGTTGATGTCTGTGTCTGCTTACAATTTTCGTTCTTTGACAGGTTGCATAAAGTTGCATAAAATTGTAATAGTTTCCTTGTCCTCAAAACAGACAGTCAACAACAACGGACTTTAGCAACTTTTTCTTAAAATTACTAAGATTATCAATAGAGATTGGCGACAACAGTTTGTTAACACTTATCAATGTGCAAACTCATTACAACGCACTTAGTATGCGAGTGTTAGGTCTTTACGGAGAAATATCGGACTGAATTTATTTCTACTGACCGAGCCCCCTAGGGCGAGGTTTGTGATAAAAACAGAGGTCCGAGATTTCTCAATAAAGACCGAGCAGGCGAGGTTAATAAAAAGTCTATTAGCTATATGGTATTATTTCACCTGAAACGAAGCTTTCTTTTCTTTTCCATTCTTACTGTTTTGCAAGGACTGGCTTTCACTCCTAAAGTTTTTGCCAGCAGAAAATATATAGTTTGAAATTGTGTCGCCTAGATAATAAAACCCACTTTTCGAGTGTTCTTTTTTGACTTACATTCATACCATGGTTTTTTGTTTTGTTTTTATTTTCGTTTTACAAAACATTTGCTGTCTGCTTCATGAAGTTTTGGTAAAACACAAGACAATAGACACTCAGTGTAAAGTAAACATTATTTAACCTTGATAAATAATGTGTACTATATACGGAGTGTCCATTGTCTTGTGTTTTACCAAAATACTCTTTGACAGTCTTAATTCATGAAGTTTGTTTATCTACATTTATTTGTAAAATTACGCTTGATGAAAGCTGGTTCATTACGTAAAAATATATACTTCCCCCTCAATATTTCCAATTGTAAGGTCATTTTATTACTTGAACATGCCAGTCATGTAAAACAGTGCGTAATATATGTATATGACATTTTGGAGCTAATGGGCAAAACGAAATGAAATATATAGTTGTAAAAAGCTACTCTTCAATACTTTCCAATTTATTTGTGTTATTTCTTTTCGAGCGCTAGTTGTAAATTCATTGTTTTACTTGTTATCAAAATATAAATACACAGCTTGTGTGGATAACGCTTTTTAAAATATTGTTTGTAGAAATCACAAGTGGTGATGATGCTAATGCTAAAGATGTCGGAAATTCTCCTGGTGTTGAAAATACAAAACAAGGTATGCCTTTCAATTCTATTTTATTTTATATGTATTGCATAACCTAAGTTTATTTGTTTTGTATTGTATGACAAATCAAGTCATTTGATTGGTATTTATGCGTTTTTATGAAGATTTATATCATTTAATAATATGCTTGATGTACGTATACAGTGTTGTACTTTAGGACTCCAAACGTTCGTTTATTACGTATGTTCAAACTCTATCAATGACTTAAATTTTCCTTTTGCGAACGACAAATAACTTAAAAGTACTGTGTACCAGACGGCAGTGCTCAGGGTGTGTTTAATAACGCTGTTGCTGAAATATCGATTACAGAACTCATTAGCTGTATTATGTTTTTTCAGATATTGTAGCGCGGACCCCTATATAGAGGGCCGAAACTATATCTTTTAGTGGGTGAGGGATTTGGTGTTAAATAACGGTGCTAATAAAATATCGATTACGGGACTCAATGGCTGTATCATGTTTTTTCAGTTATTTTAGCACGGACCACTGTATAGAGGATCGAAACTATAACTTTTAGTGGGTCGGAGGAGGGGGTGTTTTTATACCTTCAGTTGTGGTCGAGTGATTTCTTGTATAGCAACGTAGTGTACGTTAAACAAATTCAAATAGTCAAATAGATCAATAAATTGACAGGCAGATGAATAGAAATAAAATTGAAATGAAAATTTTTTATTTGAAATCATGTAAATGATTTCCTGATATGTACGTTTACCTGATATGTACGTTTAAATCAATATTTTGGTAAAAAATATAAATACTTTTGTCTATAGAACTATACATTAGGATTGATGTGAATTGTGTAAAATTGTTTTTGTTATTGGATATTGATATTATATCGTTTTGTTGTACATTGATAATATATTTTTTACCAAACTACTTTTGTCTATAGAACTATACATTAGGATTGATGTGAATTGTGTAAAATTGTTTTTGTTATTGGATATTGATATTATATCGTTTTGTTGTACATTGATAATATATTTTTTACCAAACTACTTTTGTCTATAGAACTATACATTAGGATTGATGAGAATTGTGTAAATATGTGACTTGTAAAAGAATAAGACATTTTTATTTCTTTTATTGTTGGAACCCTGTGAAGACGTTTAAAAGCTCAAAGCTTCGTTCTTAAAGTTTAAAGCACAGTTTCTAATGATACAGGGGTATGGAGAATTGTCATAAATTTGTATTAAGTCATTACAGAATTAGATAACTGGAGCTCAACTCTTCACGTCATTGCTACTGTTGCTGGTACTTCTTTCGCATGAGAGGGTGCAGAGGTGACAGTACTTCTCTTGCGGGAGAAGGGTTGGTGGTGGTGCTTGTACTTCTCTTGCGGGAGAAGGGTTGGTGGTGGTGCTTGTACTTCTCTTGCGGGAGAAGGGTTTGTGGTGGTGCTTGTACTTCTCTTGCGGGAGAAGGTTTGTGGTGGTGTTTGTACTTCTTTTGCGGGAGGAAGGGTTGATGGTGGTGCTTGTACTTCTCCTGCGGGAGAGAGGTCAGTGGTGGTACTTGTATTTCTCTTGCTGGAAAGGGGGTTGTATTGGTGGTACCAATACTTCTCTTACGTGAGAGGAGGGTGGTGGTGCTGCTGATATTTCCCTTGCAGGAAAGGGGATGTTGGTGGTGCATGTACTTCTCTCGCGGGAGAGGGAAGTGGTGGTGCATGTACTTCTCTCGCATGAAAGGTGGTGGTGGTGGTACCAGTACTTCTCTTGTGGGAGAGGTGGTTGTGATGCATGTACTTCTCTTGCAAGAAAGGTGGTGGTATTGGTACCGGTACTTCTCTTGCGAGAGAGGGTGGGAAGGTAAAACCTCTTAACTCTCTGTACCGTGTGTTTCTTATGTTTTTCTACTATAAATTTAGTATTTTTCAATACAACCATCCGTGTCTAGAGAAATTTTTTCGATAATATTTATGTACGTAAATGTCAGTGAATGGCATAGAGTAAAACCACATAAAATATTTTAATCCAGGTATTGCATTATTACGAGGTTGTAGCTATGTTTTTATGTTGCATTCTTTTTTTTGATCTCTCTTTTGTGTGTTCATTTTTAAGTTAGTACTTACCTTATATAAACTTGTTTTCCGATTGGATCAATTAGATAACAGCGATGAACTCTAATTATTGAGATTCATCATTTCTATGGCATATTTTACTTCACTCTTCTTTGAACCGATCATGAACCTTGATTTTGTTGTTGCAATCTTTAAATCGACCTGCAGTGTAAACCTTATTTTAAGTCACACAACTTTAAATGCATTTTTAATTTTCTATATTTATTACAAAAATGGACATTGAGATGATGATGAAATGTAAAAGTATGTTTTATTTTCTATCCTATGTTACAACGTGAGGTTTTTACGATGTGTTCCATTATGAAACTTTGCATTCAAAGTGTTTTCTCTTTGTAAGCGGAAATGCTCGAATGACGTCATCGATGAAGTTCCTATGCTCATTATTGAATATTGACAGCAATAAATAAAGGTCCTGTTGAACGTACGCTGTGCAAGATTACTACAATGCAAACTCTATGATTGCATAACTGATTTTCTAACTATAGACCTCTATAAAAACTATAACTAATTTTCAGTGCATGTGTCGTCATACATAGCTAACTGTTCTCCCCGTCAATTGTCATTACGTCAACATATTCATCGCTGCTTTGTGAACTTTTTCTTTTTCTCTTGCTCGTCGATTTTGAAACCATATTTTGATTTTGTTTTCCGGTAACGTCAGTTCCAAACACAAACTACGAACTTCATCACTTGTCAAGTACTTCATTGTTTCAAACTTGTTTTCCAGGGTCGTCAGCTGTTTGGGAGTGAATGGAACTCTGGGATTGCGACCGGGCTTTCGTTTCTGTTTCGGTCGACGTTTACTTGACTCTGAAACAGGACAAGACACAGCGTCGAGACATGGGTAAGTGACAATAAAAAGAATGGGGGTGAGGGGTGGTATATGGGTTTTATGTTTGTCAGCAGGTTGTGTGATTGGATTAAAACACATCCAATATACATGCATAAAATATAATTTAAACCGCCACAAATTGTGGCCATGTATACATGTAGCCTAAACAAGAGCAAACATATAAATCACTTTTAGAAATATACGTTGACGAAAAAGGCTTGCAATACATATTTTAATATGTGGTGTTTTAACGAAAATTATTATCGTAGCTTCAAATATCAAGCATGACGTCAACAAAACTTTCATAAAAAGTTTATTTGAAAATTACAATGTCGTCATACCAGGCAATATTAACCAATAAAATAACCACGCATGTTATGGACTTTCACATTAATTTATCTGTCATAATTGAATCATACAATAAAAATGATATGCAGATTTGAAAGGAAAAAGAAAAAACTAGAAAATACAGTTATGTTTTATAGAACTATGAAAGGTGACCGTAAGACAAAGTCTATATACCAGAGTACAATAGCTTCAATGGCATGACAAAAATAATTCCGTTTTTCAAAGTCAAACATGTATACATGGGTTTGTTCGTCGTTGAATTTTAGATGGAAAAGCAAAAAGTAATAAAAAATAGGTTGAAGACAACAATCAAACACTCTTCGTTCATACACTGTATATTTTAGGTTTTAACATTCAAACATCTTTTTCCACTTGAATAGTCCAAACTGAGCGACGCCTTTAAAATATTTATAAAACAAAGGAAACGAAGTGAAAAGATTAAATGCCCTGGTTTTTGAATGGAAACAATTCTAGTCTTTTTAAACAACGCCTTCATACTGTTTCGATAAACTGGAAGCCTCAGTGCATACACAATTGGATTGACAGCGAAATTCACCATGGCAACTGGTTCGTAGTAGTAAGAAAAGCGCCAAGCCAAATCACTTTGTATTTTTCCAAGCCTTTGAATAAACTCCACTTGTTTGGCGACAAAATAAGGAAATGCAGTTACCAGTAATAAGACATTCAGCACAATGATTGCCTTTACAATTTCAAAGTGTTTAGTGTTGTACTGGTTAGCATTTACTTTAGTGTCTTGTTGACTTTGCAATACAACCTTAAGTATGAAACACTTCAATATGATCTGATGTAAAACAGCGATTTCCAAGACAGCATATACTGTGATAAAGGTGTACATAACCTGTTCATTTTTCTTGCTGTAAATTAGTGTGAGTTCACCAAATGCCATGCAAATGGCAATCAACCAAACTGTGGCGCATAATATGTAAATTTTCTTCGTAGATAACATTTGTTGTCTGTATTTGGGATACTTTGCAATCATGTAAGTTTGCCATGTGAGTGATGTCAAGTGAAAAAAATGAGCCCGCAGCCCCAAACATTCAAAAGAAAAGGACAGAATAAATGAAGGCTTCTGATGGTTTGACCTCGAACAATCTACCCAATCCAACAATCATGAATTGGGACAAAGATGCAGTGATGTCAGCTATAGATAAGCTTAAGATAGTAATCCACGGTCCTCGTCTTAGTTTGCTTAAAGGATCCTTCACAATGACAACAATAAGAAGACCATTTGTTAGGACACCAACTGTGGAGATCACCATTGTTGTTATTAATCTTTCTTGAGGAATTGAGAAACTTTTCTTCGGTTTCATATTAAATACATAAATATATGTTTATTATATACTGCAATATTTTTAAAAACAAAAATTTGTTCTTTTTAGACGAGGGACTAAATTATAACGCTCAAATCCTGGTTCTCACTTTCGGCAAAAGTATAGACATGAGCATAACTGCAAAAGATTATCAACTGTCAATTCTTCTTATGCTTATGTTTTTTTTTCAAATGATGACCAAACTTATAATGATGTCGTTTTACTATCATCGACTTTTGCATAAGCTTTTAAGTTTTAGTCTTATATTTGAGTTTGAGAACATTGCCATTATTTATTTTTGTAGGAACAGATTTTTTAAGTTTCCACTTTGTGTGAACAGTGATATATTCGCATAGCAAGACCAAATATACGGGCATTCTTTCACGCCACCACATTACATAAAGTAAACATAATTTGAGGAATGTTGTAATTTTTATGTTTTGTTCTTATCAAGGCAACCAACACAAGCTTTGCTGTTTCTATGAAAATTCCAATTTCACGACGAACAAACAATGTTGAATATCATGTAGTTGCCTAGTTCATTACACAGAGAAGATATTGATGAAAATATCATATCTCGGTACATATAAAAAGTGTTCTTGATATGCATGGAGAGATATGCAGATCTTGTCTTTTGCCTGGTACTCTTGAACTCTTGAAGAAAGCAGGCAAGTGAAAATGACTTGATATTGTAAATATGCATAAAATAATGGTAATTCTAAACAATTTCTCGTATCTTTTAGATATTTTTCGTTCGTATTGGGAGATATTGGTGAAATCGTTTTATGCATGTTTTAGCATACAATTATTTGATTTTGCCAAATAATTATGGATAGCTATATTTATCTTTACAGCTTACCACGAAGCCACAAAATGCTAATTACATGCACTGCACATAATAGTTTTGCTTATTCTCAAAATGTCAAATTTCATGATAAAACCACAGAAATGTACCGTTGTTGTGTAATACACAAACGCGTGTACGTTTTTCTCGTATGCTTGTATGTATTTCTTTGAATGCATTTCTCTTTGCAGTCAACAAAGTTTATTTTCATGACTTATAATACTTTTTATATAATACTACTTACTTTTGTATTATTTTGCGAAACGGAGGAATTCCTTGTGCAATATATTTGATCTATTTTAGTCGAATTGCACATTTTGATAGAATTGTCGCTAGCTTTGACCACTGGCACTGGATATATATTCAACAAACATATCAAAACAACGTAACTATAAACATATTGTACAGGTACCATAGCGTGACCTCAGAAATTGATTTTATGTAAGGAAATGTACGCCGGGTTCCACCTGTCTAAAAAAGTAATAGAATTGACTTATACAAAAATCTAATTTGAAGTGTACAAAGTCTGGTATTACATGAATCAATGACTAAAATTTGGTTTAAAGGGATTCGATAAACCACATGTCGAAATGTTTTATTAATCGTACTATCAGCTCAAACGAACGACAGGGTTTGGTAAACGCAGTTATCCTGCCATTACAAATAATAATTATTATATACCTCCAAGACTAACTTCTTTGTCGTCTGCTAGCCTTCTTACAATAGGTTTTGGATGTTATAAAAAAAACGACTCTCGCGTTCGTCGTGTGATGCGTTCTTAACTCTTCTTCTCACAAATACTCAACTGATAGCAAAATGAAATTTCTAATATGGTAAATTAAGATCGTGTTTATGTATCATGTGTTTTGAAACAGATAAAACAAATATTCTTCTGGGTTGATGTTGACCTCCGAAGTGGGTTAAGAGCTACGTCCGACCACTTCAAATCTTGGGCTGGGCATCATGATGATGTACACAAACTTCTTACGTATACAGGAAGTACTGACAAAGAAGAAAATGGATCATTGGCTGTATATTGATGTAGAAAGTGAGACGAAGTATCCCTGCACGTGATGTATTGAATTCTACTTTCTTCAATATTGTAGTGAAATGATTCACTCACCAAAATAAATTTTATTTGTGTACAGAATGTCTTGTTGTTATTAAAAAGTTATGGCTTTACCATGGCCCTGGGTGGTCTCATGTTATTGAGAATTCTTAGCAAAGTCTTTGTTGTAGGTATCTTGATTTGTCATATTTCAAAACATAAATTCGTTCAATGTTAAGAATAACGTACTAATAAATGCTATAGCAAAATTTTCTGTTTCAGCACACAATGTAAGTTTGTGCTTTGGGTCATCACAAGAATTTTTTGTGTAAGCAAACTTTTCATCATAACGCAAGTAGAATAAAAACTATGCAAATTTCATTTTGATGGTACATCGTTATTGTTTCTTTTAACTCATATGCCTGTGATGAAAGGATTCTGCATTTAAGCTTTCCTTGCACTTTAGACTGTACGTTAGCTGCGTACACATTTTCTTTATTTTGAACAGATCAACTTACTCTTTGAGCGATGGAACGAAGCAATGTTTATACCGAAGTATTTGTTTTCCAATACATTCTCCAAGTAGCAGCCGATATATGAAGTAAGTTTGTTGTCATTTTTTCAACAAGCTATAGAAAACTTAACAAACAAGCAAGACTCATTCTTTCTTTCAAATTTTTATCGAAGCATTAAGCAAATCTGTAACGTCTCTAAGTTCAAGGTTTATTTGATTAATGATATGTACCGTTCAAAAAGTATTACACTGCTGATCTTTCTCATGAAAAGAAAAGTCAAAAAGTTGGCTGTAAATTTTAGTCAGTTTAAATCTCGCTACAAATCATGATAGTTTCTTTTTCTTTCATCTTCCCTTTAAAACTTTGCTAATATTACCTATACTATACCCAAATAAAAAATTTATATATTAATCATAAAGTTATGAACGATGAATGTAGTTACATCGCAAATGTTTCTTAATCGCAAATGGTCTCATTAAAGTATTCACAATTATTGGTCTCGCTTTTGAAGTTACGTAGAAACAAAAAGTTATAAGTATTGTAGTAAAAATCGTTATAATTTTTTTTGACCACACAGTTGTTTGTCACTTTGGAATTTATTCTTCCAATAAAAACTATTAGCACTATTCGTACATTTTTAATCAAATTGAGTTTAGAACATATTATCTATCATACAGGTTTACTAGCACTAGTACGAAGTGAAAAGATTGAATGCCCAGGTTTTTAAATGGAAACAGTTCTAGTCTTTTTAAACAACGCCTTTATACTGTTTCGATAATCTGGAAGCCTCAGTGCATACACAATTGGATTGGCAGCAAAATTCACCATGGCAACTGGTTGGTAGTAGTAAGAAAAACGCCAAACCAATTCACTTTGTATTTTTTCAAGCCTTTGAATAAACTGCACTGTTTGGGCGACAAAATAAGGAAATGCAGTTACCAGTAATAAGACATTCAGCACAATGATTGTCTTTACAATTTTAAAGTGTTTAGTGTTGTACTGTGTAGCATTTACTTTAGTGTCTTGTCGACTTTGCAATACAACCTTAAGTATGAAACACCTCAATATGATATGAAGTAAAACAGTGATTACCAAGACAGCAAATCCTGTGATATAAGTGTACATAACCTGTTCATTTTTCTTGCTGTAAATTGGTGTGAGTTCAGCAAATCCCATGCAAATGGCAATCAACCAAACTGTGGCGCATAATATGTAAATTTTCTTCGAAGATAACATTTGTTGTTTGTATTTGGGATACTTTGCAATTATGTAAGTTTGCCATGTGAGTGATGTCAAGTGAAAAAATGAGCCCGCAACCCCAAACATCCAAAAGAAAAGGACAGAATAAATGACAGCATCTGATGGTTTGACCTCAAACAATCTACCCAATCCAACAATCATGAATTGAGACAAAGATACAGTGAAATCAGCTATAGATAAGCTTAAGATAGTAATCCACGGTCCTCGTCTTAGCTTGTTTAGAGGATCCTTCAAAATAAGAACAACAAGAAGACCATTTGTTAGGACACCAACTGTGGAGACCACCATCGTTGTTATTAATGTTTCTTGGCCAAGTGAAAAACTCTTCATGGGCTTCATATGAAATATAGAAAGAGGAAAAGACGTCAAATGTTTTCATATACATTCATAAATGCACATAGATAAATGGTAATTTTTACAGTCGTACACTGAGAATCATGAACTAGTTGTTTGATGAATTTTCTTCGCTCATTACTGTGAAGACACTTTACTGAACCGCGCACTTCATTACACTTCATTTCCGTTTAGGTCAGGAAAGTTAGGTCCTGACTATTTAGAAGCAACTAGAGAAATTGATTTACATGACACATTCAAAAATCTACAATTGTGGATAGATCTTTTCCTGGAAGAAGCACTTTGATGACGCTACGTTTGAATTTTATATTCTTGATGGTATCGTAAAATAGAAAACTATTTATCTGGACACGCGCCTTTTAATTTTTATTCAAAATCGTATAAATAGTGAGAGCGATTTCAAACATTCAACGTTTTGTGAAAAGATGGATATTTGAAACTGGATTTTCAGCGTTTTTTAGAAGTCTGGTTTGTATAAGCAACTTGAGAATTTTTTTATGCCTACCACATTGTCGCCAACATACGCATTTTAAAGTTTGAACATCTCCTAGTTCTTAATTGTATCTATACATGTTTAACGTTTGTACTATGAGATAGTGATAAGATCTGTAGAAAAAAATAACTGCAGTAGATTATATACTTACAAAACTTTGATTGCGTAAACCAGATGAATTCCTTGAGTTATTTATATGATTTGGTTGAGTCGAATTACGCGTTTCCAAAAAATCACCAAAATTGGTCACTGGATATACTGAGATCAAACTTGTAAGAATAAGGAATCCGTAAATAAAGGAAGGATAGACGTTTTGGAAATATCGTGAGAGTACCATAGTGAGATCTCAGACAGTTTAATCAACTGTTCTAATTTCTTGTCTCTGGGATGACTGGCATTGACTGAATGGTTTAATGCAATTTGATCACTTGTATTCATACAGTCGTTATAATGTTTATGACACGTCAACACGTATCTCGATATTTTTGCATCCGCGTTTTTTTAAATTGGCCTCGTGACGTCCACATGCATGTGGTGGATTCACATGTACATCCCACATACGTAAGTGATTTTAAAAATTCATTTCCTGTAAACGATAATTGGCCCCATCTTTTTTGTTGCAATATTCTCCAGAAGAAGGGGGAAATTTGTGTAGCATTGTTGTTATAGTGCAAAGAAACATTTAATTTCAGCTCTCAAGAGGCTTATATTGGACTTACTCCCTCCCCCGAATTCCTATACAACTTTTCGCTGGCATTTCAAATATACCAAGATGAAAATAACAAATCTTTCTTCTTTTTTTCAAGGTTTTCATCTCAGCAAAGCTGCTATATTTCCAGGTACCTGATATGTACGTGCTTTGATTGATTTAAACATATCCTAATGTTACAATCCATTCCCCCTAAGTGCTAGTGATCACAACATTTAGCAAAATGTTTTAATAAAAAAATGATAATTCCCATTCACAGGTCATGGTAACTTATATGTCTCCTCAACTATTTGTAACTTATTCTCTTCTTTACATGCATGTATGATACCTAATTTATACATAACCCTAAAATTTTAAGTATAACATTATAGTTTACTTGCTAACAACAGCAAATGGAAAATGTTCTAAGCAACTAAATAAAAATAATTTAACTGACATTGCAAGCTTACTAAAGAAATAGGCGAAGTTAATAAACCAATCTTAGAGATAAAAAAAATGGGTTGTAAACTACATATTGTCTTGAATGCAATAATTGGACAAACGATACTTACTAGTATTATAAAGCAACCATGCATTGTTATGAATAAACATTCAATTACCTCTTTGTAAAATTATATCACTGTTTAAAAACTGCTGTGATTTGCAATAGAAAGTACAACTATTTAAAGGTTTAAGGCTACGTGACTCTTAATCAAAAACATTTTGTAAATCACATAATCACATAACCTCATGTTAAAAAATATTAATCATCACCGCTTATCAGTCAGTCAGTTAATATAATTCCAGATATGCTAAAACGTGATATTTACGTAAGATTTCAGATAAAAAACAGAATTTTGACAATGAAATTCGTAAGATTATACATCGGGAATTCAATAATCACAAAAAATCGTAATCATTAAATGTGATAAGTAATTTTTGAACTATAAACATCAGTCGCGTGAATGATTTGACATACCCTAGATCCGCCCCTGCATGTTATGACAATAACAAACATACGTACTGATGAATACCATATCCAAATGCTGTAGCAAGGTGTAGTGATAACATTATCTTTATAAAATAAAAATAGAATAAAAATATTTTTAAGCATTGAAACATATTCTAGATCATAACTGCCTCTAAACTTGGAAAGCGAGCTGTGAATTATCTTGTCTTGACAACTATGAGGCAAATTCGATTCTTGCACGAGCGATTTTCAAATGAAGATGAACGCGGATATTTTACAGGTATCGAAATCATTTTGATGTCAAATTGATTTAAATAACTTTATTTATCCATGACAGATATTTGAGATAAGTAAAACGTCGCCAAATGTCTTAAATATTCGAAAATCCTTGTTTGTAAACGTTATCCGACATACATTTTTATAGTAATTTGTATCTCTAGTGGGTAACCGGAAGTGCATTTTGCATATATAATTAGGCTTCACATTTAAAAACAAAAGCTCAAAATAATTCGCGATTTCGCTGCCAAGCAAGAAACCCGATGTAGTGTTCATCGCAGAAACATAGCTTACATGATACTTGTAATCTTGAGATATCTGAGTATAACATTGTTTATAAAAACAAAGCTTTTGGACCACATGGAGGTGTTGTATATGTCTATATATAAAAAATTTATTCAGTTTACAGTTCTTGACTAATTTAGTTCGACCACGTTTGAGGCTTTTTGGGTTAAAATTATGCCAATCAACTAGTTATAAACTAATTAGTTAATTCAATTACAGCAATGGACATTTTTATATTCTTGGTGTGAAGTCGTTTGAATTTTGCTTTTAATAGACTAAACTTTTGCTATCTTCTGATTACCAGAAACATCTTGAAATATACCTAAATGATACAACCAAACATCGGACATGATCTTAACAAATCTTTATAGTTTCTACAATAAGAATTCTATATCAGCTTTCCTTCATTTAATTTATCAGAATATAATGTAATGTTATCTTATCAAGGCGTTACATTTACTTTTCCCAACATTTAAGCCAACGAACGCCTATTTTGTCTTATTCAACATAAACAAGCAAATGAAACAAAACTTCTACAATCTGATTTGTAAATTTTCATGTGTAAGACCAACTCTTAATTATGGAGCTAAGGTTTTTTTAACAAACTCCCAAAATACCGAGGAAACGGTAATAAAATTCAAACATGTTAATAAAAACAATAAAAATCATAAGGCCGTATCTTTGTTTTTACATAACAATAAACTTTTAATGTCTTAAATTAAGTTGCACAAAATAATTTGCCACGTATCAACTCAAAGGATGCAACCATTTGGCGATTAACTTTTCAAAACGTTAAGTGATTTGAAAGATCTAATGTTCAAAGTTTGGAGCCATCAACTAGTAAAAGGTTTGTAAGACTAAAGATAAAGAATTATCGTGTGTGTTAACGATCTGTAAATGAGATCTTAAATAGAAATTGCTCGTCATATTTAATTGATAAATTTTTGATAAATATTGGTCACACCCAAGTACTATAAAATATACATCATAGATACCCGTAGGAATTTGCAATCCTGTAATTGTACACAAATCAAACCAAGTTACAAATAAAAACATATTAACTGCTTACCAAAAATCACTGCCATTCATCTAAAATATGGCGTGTTTATCTTGATGTGTTTAATTATAATTTAATTTATGTTTGTAAAAAGTATTTTTGCCTTTTACCAACGTTATTATTTTGGAAATGTAGCTTTTTTAAATGTTTATCAATAAACCTTTTATACTAAAGATTTCAACAAGCACACTTTAGACGTTCATGACATATGATTGTGCAATGATATTGTGTTATTCAACAGGCAAGAGTACCACTAGTATAAAAATAAAGTGACATATCGAGCTGTAGTTTTTTACCAATCGCTACCAAGTACCTTGAAAATGGTATAATGTAATACAATTTACACTTTCATTTCTATTGATGAATTCGATCCAAATTAAATTCAAACATGCTAATAAAAACAATAAAAATCATAAGGCCGTATCTTTGCTTTTACATAACAATTATCTTTTAATGTTTTAAATTCAGTTGCACAAAATAATTTGCTACGTATCAACTCAACGGACGAAGCCATTTGACACTTAACTTATCAGAACGTTAAGAGATCTGAAAGATCGAATGTTCAAAGCTTCAACCGTCGACCAGTAAAAGGTTTGTAAGACAAAAGACAAAGAATTATCGTGTGTGTTCACGATGTATAAATGAGATCTTAAATAAAGTTGTTCGTCAAAAATATATTTAATAACTTTTAATAAATATTAGTCTCAACTTAGTACTATAAATATACATCATAGGTACCCGTAGCAACTTGTGATCCTGTTGTTGTATACCAATTAAACAAAGTTACAATTACAAACAATTTGCTTACCAAAAAATGACTGTCATCTGAAGGAAGGCGTGTTTATCATGATGTGCTTGCTTGCTAAGGAATTTAAATTGCTTGTTAGCATGCAATTATATTTATCTTTGGGTCCGGACGGTATATTTATAAAATATGTTTTATTTCATTATACTTGTGATAGTATCAAATGACATTTATGAATCAGGAAGAAAATTTGGTTTGAAATTGCAAATGGACTCATGCATGTCTACATTGAATATTTTAAATATTTAGTTTTTTTTTAAATATTTAGTCGTTTTGTAACGTTGCAATTATCTTTCGTTGAGCTGTTAACGCTAAGTTGATACATGAAAATTCATAGCAGTAAATAAATAAAACTGAGAATCTTTGGTTTCTGCTTTGAAAAAACCGAGCTTTTGGACCACAAGGTGGTGTACAGCAGAAATTCTTATATAATTATGCCACGTTTGAGGCTCTTCTCATTAAAATTAGACCGATTAACTAATTATAAACTAATTATTCAATTCAATTACAGCAATGAATGTTTTTGTATTTTGGGTGTGGAATCGTGCTGACTTGTGATTTTGATAAACTTAACTTTTGCCACCTTACGAATCAATTCAGATTACCAGAAACAGCTTGTAGTTAAATATACCTGAAAGATACAACCAAACATTGAATTTGAGGCTAAGAAATCTGTATAATTTCTACAAGACTACAACAAGAATTCTCTATCACCTTCCCTTCATTTGATTTATCAGAATATAATGAAATGTCACCTTATCCAACTGTGAGATTTACTTTTCCCAATATTAGAGAAAACAAACGCATATTTTAGATAAGACTTAGTGTATTTCACTAAATGGGGATCTTGTAAAATATATATTGAGAGACAAAATACAGAGGTCATTTGTTTACGAATGACAAACAACAATAAAAGTTGGGTCCAGGCCCCTTATTAATCAACGATTGTCCCATTATGCTCCATCCCCTAAGTCTTTTCTAGTATAGGCAAGCGTAATATAAAGTTGTTCTTTGATATTTGTTCATCCTCTCAATTTTCTAACAGCCCTTTCTTGTTGAAGTTGAGTAATCTGCGTAGAACTAGTGGTTCTTTCTTGCTAGGCTTTGTGGTCGCAGGTGTAGGTTCTCTGGCATCTTCAGGTATCTTGGTTGCGTTTGGTGAAGTTCCATCTGCGGGTATATATGTTCGGTAGTGATGCTGACTCCGAGGTATCAGTCTGTGTCGTCGATCATAGACGTGGTAATGACGGTGTTGGTTTTCTGTTGGCTGGTGTCAATTTGCTGGGAGTAAGGTTCTCCATTGAGACTTTTGGTATCAGCAGCAGGTCCGTATCAATAGTATATTTGGGTGACTGCTCTTGTACAGGTGTGAATTGCCGGAGAAATTTTTTTGTTTCTTAGTGTAATTCTGTTGGACCCGTCGACTTTTACGCAGTTTTGATCATGTTAAAGGACTTCGATGACTGTTCCAGTCTTGTCCCATTTCGTAGTCTACGGTCCTGTTTGGTTCTGTATTCTTACGTGATGTCCAATGAACAGAGGTGGTAGTCTTCTTGTGTGTTCTGACCAACGTTCCGCCTCTTGAGCATTGAGTGTTTCGCTCTAGGTTGCGTGTTGCCTATAACGGCCGGAGGAAATTGGTATGAAATCCTTAATAGGTCTACCTAAGACGCTTTGGACCGGTGATAATTTCGTATTGGTATCAGGCGTGTTACGATATTGTAGAACAGCAATTTGTAAGGCGTTTGTGTTGAGGCT